TGAGAAAGACTTAATGTAGCACTGAATCCGTTGGAAGACACTTTGATAGCTCTTCATTGAAACCCTTCCGAGCACTTCTTAACAGATTAAAATTGAACTGAACGACCTTCTTCTCCATGATACATGGCGTACCCTACACCCCTCGGACAAAGACTACACTTTTTTCTCCGCACCTCACAAGCGTTATTCCAGAATCAACTATCTCTTCCTTTCACAAAAAGACTTACACTAAAGTCAGCCTCTATTGAACCAATGATTTTTTTCTGACCATCACCAGATCATGATGACTATACATCTTCCTGATGCCCCACCTACGTCGAAAACATGGAGATTAGATCCCTTTCTCCTTACGGATTCATCTGTTACCCTCCAAATTCGTGAATCTCTGACCAATTATTTTAAGGAAAATACGTCCCCGTTAACGACACCTCTCATTCAATGGGAAGCACACAAATGTGTGATATGTGGGCTCCTTCTTTCAATCACTGCTTCTCAAAAACGCATAGCTCAGGCATCTTTTACTTCTATACTTCATAAAGTACGTAAACTTGAATGCTCAGATAAACGTTCCAAGGCTGTAAACTCTCGATCAGGCACGCAAACAACTTCGAGAAATAGTGGAAAAGAAAACTAAGCGTAATTTTACTTTATCTCAGAAACTCTTTTATGAACATAGAAATAAGAGCAGTAAATATTTAGCCAGGGCCTTGCAATCTAAAAAAGCGGCTTGCACCATTCATCAACTCAACTCCAAACAAGGCCACTTATTTCTGCGGATATCGCAGCTGAATTTGAGAAATATTATACTACCCTCTACAACTTACCCTTAGCCCCAAAACCGACAGGGGATATTAGACCGCGTAAGGTCATTTTCCAGACTTTTCTCTCCCAATATCTTCCTAAAACCTATCTCCCAATCACAAGCAAGAGAACTAGATGGAGCTTTGACACTGACAGAACTACAACAGGCTATCGCACAACTAAAACCAGGTAAAAGCCCAGGCCCACACGGACTTATAACCACATATTACAAATCCTTCATAGACATCCTCGCACACCCATTCCTAAAGGCTTTCAATTCACTAGATACCCCAGGACAGTCCATGCGCCATCTTTCACGCTTATACCGAAAGAAAACAAGGATCAGACACTGCCAGCTAACTATCGTCCAATCTCCCTCCTAAACGTTGACCTAAAGATTTTTGCCAAAATACTAGCAAATCGCTTACTACACATCATAGACCCCATTATTTCCACTGACCAGGTAGGGTTTGTACCCGGTAGAGAAGAGACAATACGATCAGGGTGATAAATATACATTATTGGTTGACACAGAAGAAAACATCTGGCTTCTTCCTCTCTCTCGACGCTGAGAAGGCCTTCGACAGATTGGCATGAGACTACATGGAGGCCGTTCTGACTGGCCTTGGGCTTCTTCCACATCTCTTAAAGTTTATCATATCTTTATATACAGCACCAACGGCTAAAGTTAGAGTTAATGGCCTCCTTTCAGACGCCTTCTCGATAAGCAATGGGACCAGACAGGGATGTCCATTATCCCCCCTCCTATTCATTCTTACTTTGGAACCTTTTCTGAACTGCAGTAAACAGAATGACAACATCAAAGGAATTTCAATCAATGGCAGAATCCACAAAATAGCTGCCTTTGCCAACGACATCTTACTTTTCCTGACAGACCCACATATTACACTACCTAACTTACTACACGATTTAAAATTATTCCAGTATCTAGCAAATTTTAAAATTACCTTCAATAAATCCCAGCCCTTCAATGTTTCCCTAACCCAAGGTACGGTCAGACAGGCGAAAACGAACTTTCCCCTTTTGCGTGGCAGTCCGAGGCCATCACATACTTAGGAATTCAATTACCAACTCACATTACAGAACTTTACGCCAAAAACTTTTTACCCATTTTACATGGCATCACCAAAGATCTACAGACATGGAACAAACCATTTTTTCTCTTGGTTTGGCAGAGCAGCTATTCTTAAGATGAACGTGCTTCCCAGACTACTATACCTGATGCAAACGATTCCAATCAAACTGCCCAATTCCTTCCCACATCCCGTCCGAGTTCAGGGAACACCTTCTTATAGGCCCTACTCTATCGTGTTATCATTTGATAAGTCAGAAAACAGGTTTTTCTTCAACCCCTGGTCCACTCACCCCTATCAAAATGAACCCAGACTTGCCCCCCTGGTATGTCTCATGCCTTTCTCGCCGGGTCTAGCCCCCCCGACAATTTGAATCTGCACCAACTCTTCAAAGATAGGACATTCTTACTCAGAGACCACCTTTTGAACAAATGGCCATCCCTAACCTTGGATGCCTTGGATGTACAGACAGCTCCACCACTTTATACATAGCTCCTCACATCTAAAAGACTATACTAGACCACTCACCCATTTGAAAAACTCTGCTCCACAGACTCTCCCCAGAGACATGTTATATCTAAGCTCTACACATGCCTCGAAAACACCATTGACCTTCCGTCTAGGAAAGCTTGCAAGGCCTGGAGCTCTGACTTACAACTCCAACTATCGCCAGAATACTGGGATCGCATTTACGAACATATACACAAAGGATCCATATGTGTCTCCACACAAGAAAACAATTTCAAACTATATTTTAGATGGTACAGAGTTCCGTCCCTACTTCACAAATTTGACCCTAACATCTCAGATTAGTGTTGGAGATGTCACCAGGCGACGGGTACACTCTTGCATATCTGGTGGGACTGCCCATTGCTGCAACCTTTTTGGAGGAAAATCCAACCCATAATCATGCTACGTACTCCCTAGACTTCTCCCCTGCACAATTCTTACTCCACCATTCCACACTTCCATTTAGGACGTACCGTAAATCACTCGCCATGCACATGGTAAATGCGGCAAAACAATGTATCCCAGTCCACTGGCGCTCAACACATGTCCCCACTATTCGAGAATGGTTTGCTAGGATCAACAAAATTGAGGAAATGGAAGAAATGATTTCTGTAGCAAAAGACCATCCCGAGAGATTCAGGAAGACATGGACTTGTTGGAGTCATTTCAAAACCACCGCTACCTATCACCTATTATTGCAGGAATAGCCTACACCCCCTGATTGAATGATTGGACACAATGCTATCTCAAGGGACACCCTATCCACCAGTGACGCATTTGATGCACATTTAGATGGATTGAGAATCGACATCATGGCCTACCTTTCGGGTTCTTGACCCGCATGTTGCCCCATTGAATGATCTTGCACATATTGGATCCTGGGCTGCGTAGCTATCCTTCTGACTCTTATGGAACGATGTGGTTTATTTTGTCTGCGGCTACCCATTCTGGCATCCCCTCTTCTCCGTGCCCACTCTCCTCCTCCCGAAAAACCCCTTCTCTTACCATCCCCCCCTTCTTTTTTTTTTATTTTACCTCATACTCCCCCTTACTACCTCACTCTACATCTCCTTTTCTATCTATTCACCTTTCTGCCTTCTCTTTATCTCACACCTTTTGTACGCTTTCATCATTCATATATCCCCAACAAAATATAGCATTTATTCTCTCATACAGGTGTGACTAATGTCACGTAGATCATACGCTCCCGAAATGGGCACACACATCATAAACGCACACATCACCATGTGCTATTCTTTCCAGCACTTCACATTCCTCAACATAAGGGCTTACAAATAAATAGGTCAGTAATTAATATATCTATAACAATTTATCTGTTACACTCTTTGTATCTGTATCTGCTGGTTTGCTATACACCTTTGATATAAAGACATACCTTACCTCAATTTGTACTACAATTTAAACCCATAGCCCATATGCGAAACGGGATGTTACATATTGTGTCTATGTTCGGACTGTAATCCATATTTGTACGTACATTGATCTGCCTTTCCCAATAAAAATTACTTTTGGAAAAAAAAAAAATTCTCTCAGTCTAGGGAATGTGGGTGGACACATTCAAATCATTCCTTGGTTGCCTTTGTAACCAGATATATCAGTATCTGCATGGAGTGTTCAAAGGAAGGCTTAAATCATCTTTCATGGACTCTGGCATTCCAGAAAGCACTGGGGACAACAACTACCTTTCCACTCACATTTAAAGGTACAGTGTACTAGCAATCTTCTCAGCATGTATTAGGCTGTTGGGCAGGGTTGGCATCTAGCAATACTGGAATCTCAGAATAAAGATATATGAATTCTAGAAAGCCTAGTATTTTTCCTCCACTGACAAAATTATATGCAGCACTATTTAATAACTCTAATGTTGACATTTGTGGCCACATACAACCTATTTTGTAGGCGCAATTCACACTTAGAAATGCGTGTCTCTGCGATCAGCGTGTGTGTGGAAGCCCCATTGAAAGCAATGAGAGACTGGCAGCTCCCACGGCTATTTGTGGCTGGTCACATACTGTATAATTTTTCATGTAGCAATTACCTGCAGATGATCAGCCCTGGATGCAAACTGAAGGATTACATGTGATCGGCTGTAAATATCTGCAGTGGCTATCAACATTTTATTGCTCTCAATGGGGCTTCCTGCCAGCAGCTAATTGCAGATCACCCTGCTGGGTTTCCTGCAGCTATTCATAAACTGCTCCCTTCACAAGTGCGAATGAGCCCTTATGATCAAAAATGTGACGCAAGACAGATTTTCTGTTGGGTTGTTGTAGTTTTTTTCAAGCACATCTTTTCGAGAAAGTGTAGATATTTTGTCCCCTGAAAATGCTGTAAAGAATGCAGAGGACAAAGAATATGGTTCAATGGATCATTTGACAGAAGAAAAAAGCAAGAAGTGTATAGGCGGCAGCAGAGATAGAGCAGTATTAAAGTGTTACTAAACCCAGGACCCTGCATTCACTCTATCTGATCTCCCACAGTACACAGAACATGGAAATTCAATTATTTTAGTAACTATAAAACTGCTAAATACCTTTTTTCATCAGCAGTTAGAAGTCTTGTGACTTCTATCAGTGTCCAGCAGAGCACTGGTTAAAGCTTGTAGGAGTTTTCATTCTGCTCTACATGGATGCAAAACCCCTGACCGCTGTCTGGACAGTGCTGATTGGCCCTGTGCTGATCACATACATTCTCCCAGGAAATAAAAAAAACTCTTTAGCAATACACACAAAACTGAGCATGTGCAGAATGGCTATGGTTCAGTCTGTCTTATCAGGAGATAAGAGGTTGACACTTGAACAAGAGGAGGAGTATAGAAGACAGCATCAAACAGCCTAAAAAGGCAATGCAGAGGATTAACCCCTTAGGTTCCACAGTGAGTATAACCAGCATGTTTCACTGCATATACAAACTGATTTTACGGTTGTGGGTTTAGTAAAATTTAATGCCCAGCTCCAGCTAAAACATCACTTATTGGTATGGCCAAAGTTCAAAAGGGTTAGATTCTCTTCCAGGTTTTTATTATGGTCTGTGATCCTATTTAAAGCAGTTTTTCACCCTGTTTGAAAACAATTCAAATTACTGTAGCTGCTGACTTTTAATAAAAGGACACTCACCTGTCCAGGAGTCCAGCACTGTACTCACCCAAACCAACATGGCTTGTTTATTGTGGGCAGCCAGCTGTGATTCCTTGCGGCTTTACAGCTGGCTGCCCACTGCATATATGCGGGCCATGTTGCGCTTTGTGAATGGTCCCGCAATCTTCTGGGACCTGTCACGTGTCCCAGAAGACTGCGGGGGAAGGGGGGGGGAGGAGAACTTCCTGCTTCCAATCACCTAGGCCTGTCAAAATTGGGCACCCTCTCCCCAAAAGGTGCCAATTCTTCAGAGGGAGTCCTTAAAGCACAACTTCCCCTTTTGGGAGGAGCTCTGCTATAAGGCTCCATGCACACTGTAATAAAAAAAACACCAGTGCTCTTGGAAATAAAAAAAATGCTAATTGTGAGTGTTTTTTGTAGGTGTGTTTAGCATAATTTAGGAACATTTAGAATTTTTTTCTGCCAAAAAACGCTCTCACAAATGCAAAAAAAAAGGGTTTTTTTTCTGCCTCTAAACACTGAGCTTAAAAAAATGTAATGTGCATAGACGCAAAAGGATAACATTATTTGCTTCTACAGGCAAAATGCTAAACCCCTCTAGGAGCAGCCAATGTGCAAAAACCTTACATATTCTAATCTGTCAAATAAATGGACAACATATTGAGAGCCTAAGGATGGCCATACATGGGGTAATTTGTGAGAATCACTAAATACCCAATTTGTTTGCCTTACCAGCATTATTGTAAACATAAACCCTTTAATTTGTACCCTGTACGCTCAACTATCACTTGTATTGATAAAGTTTGTAAAAAAAAACAAAACTTTTTAAAATCCCACGCTGCATAGAATGATTTTTAAACAATTTGGACAATCATTTTTGAGTACTACCTTCCATTCCTATTGGTCATTGGTATTCCTTTTGATAAGCATGTATTAAGCGTTATTTGTATTTGTACAAACCTCATCTAGTTATAAGAAAAAGTGACCCTCCTGCATGGTCACCTAGGTTCACACTAGTGTAACTGCGACTTGGATCTAATTTGCAGTGCGATTTTGACGGGTTCTCTCATGTTTCATTCATTCTTTTGTATGAGAAGGCTGGACTTTATACATAAAAAAAAGCACTAAAAAAGTGTGTTACATGCATTTTTTTGTGTGTTTCCATCCAAGTCTATGGGGACAAAATCTCATTGCAATTGCACATTCCTAGCAAGTAGATCTTCAATAAATAGCGATTGGACAAGATATACGATTTTTTCTGATCTTCTCCAATTCCCCCAAGATACAGTACAGGCTATCAAAAGTTCCCAGTTAAAGAATGTGTAAACCCAACATATCATATTTCTGATATGTGCCTGTTGTACCATGTACATGTATGAAAAAGTATTCAGTTCCCTATGTATTTCTTCCTTTGCGTGAAATACCTGGTGTTCCTGTCAGTTCCTCTGCTTTCCTATTAAAAACTGACCACACTAAGCAGAAGATCACAGCATGGTCAGTTTTCTAGCTGTGCTGGAACTCATCCTGCTTTCCTTCAATGATTAGATTTGTGCCGATATGCCCCCTCCTGCATAGCCATTCACTGGGAAGATCAGTGTGCTGCCGTTTCTCCGGGCCTGAACATGGCGCTGGGAGACTGCTAAGTGCAGGAGCTCCTGACGCCCACCATGTAGAAGCTGCCTGGGGCCTGACTTACACTGTCCACCCGTAAACCCACCTGGCCTTGCTGTCCCCGGTCAATGCTGTGCGATGTCCTCCCTGGTGCGGGTTGCGTGGCGGCCGGTGGCGGGCCCTGACAGAGGGATTGAGCAGCAGCGGTAAGGAGGAGGTGGGGATCCCAGAGCCCTCAGAGGGACCAGCGTCGGCTGACGAGGGAGTTCCCCATAGCACAGGAGGTGTTGGGAGAGAGGAGGTATCTGAGCGGGGAAGGAGTCACACTCTGACCCTTGCAGGGATGCACTAGACTGGATGGAAGACACACTGTAGAGATCCGGAGGACAGGAGACATCAAAAGACACAGGCCATTGGATCACAGGACATCCTGAGCCCCAGCCCAGACCCTTCCTCAAGTGATTCTACAATTTGGGACAGGAGACCCCGATGGGGAAAGAAGAGAGCACAGAGACAGACAGACCCAGAACCCCAGGCTCGGAGGGTGATGGTGAGTTGCCGTGGGCAACGGCAGGAGATTTTAAAGTCTATAATGTCTAATGTTGCTAAACAATTGTATACCTGAGTTGTAGGGCTGGGCGGGCAGAAGATTAAGGAGTTGGGGTATCTCAGGGGCCAAGTATTGTTGCTAATGACTCCCCCCCCCCCCCCCCCCCCCCCCCCCCCCCCCCCCCCCCCCCCCGTAGGTGTGAAAATATTGTATTTTGAACTTTGAGTAGAATATCGGTGGCTCTAACGCTAAGAGTAGTTAATATGAAAAGCAAATCTACTAAAGATGGGGGGAGGGAAAACCCTGCAATCTAGCACAAATACTAACACAATAATGAAATACTTGCCATCACAAGAAAAAAGCCCAGAGATATAATGTCCGGAGAAACAGCAGGAATGAAGTAGAAAAATATGATGGGGAGCAGTCTAGACTGTCATTTGGAGTACACGAAGAGAATCAGACTAATGAATCTATAAATATTGATAGTGTAAACGATCAAAACTCTTCCAAACAACAGGGAGCTATATCACAAATCCCCACAAAACAGAGATGGAGGAAATGTTGGCAAAACTGGAATTTTCTATGAAAAAGGAATTGACGGTGATCCATAAGGATCTTGGACGAATGTTAACAAGGGTTGAAGAAGTGGAGGAGAAAATGAAGACACAGGCTCAGCACATATGTAATTTCGAAATGCAGTTGGAGGAGATGCGTAGGGAACAGGGGAAGCTGTCATACAAATTGGAAGACCAAGAAAATAGAGAGAAGAAATAATCTAAGGATCAGGGGCCTCCCAGAAGATGCGCATGAAGAGGACCTCCGGGGAAAAAGTAAAGAAAGTGTTCAATCCATTGACAGGTAGATTGGTCACAGATCCTTTGAAGATTGAGAGAATTCATAGATTAAGACGCCCACCAAGTGTAGCATCAGACATCCCTAGAGACATGATTGTTTGATTCCATGATTATGTGGACAGAAAAAACATGGAAAAAGCTGCGAGACCCCAGAGTTAACATATGGAGAAAAGAATCTATAAGTCTTTGCAGACATTTCTTCAGAGACATTAGCTACAAGAAGATTGCTGAAACCCTTATTGGATCAGATGAAGGAAAAAAAAAAAAAAAAAAAAAAAAGAGTTCGATACAATTGGAAATTCCTGGCATGTCTGATCGGGTGGAAAGACAAGGAAATCAGCAAGGCTAAGATTCCCAGAAGAAGAAAGTGACTTTTGTTAAAAATTAGAACTGCAGAATGTGGGAATTGTGGGGAGGATAGAGGGGTCAAATGAAAGTGAAAGGGTAAGGTCAAAAAAAGGTAAGTCATTGAATAAAAAGAGAAAATAGACAAAAATGGGGGGAGGAGGGTCAGTGGGGATAGGGGGCTCTGGGGGATGAATTGCTGTCCCCCTCCTTCCCCCCCCCCTTTTTTTGTTTTTCTCTCTCTCCCTCTCCCCACCGTTCCTGTGTTTTTTCAGCATGTTTTCGAGTAAGATAAGTAGAGATAGCGGGGCGTCGGGAGGCCACACAGGAATTTAATTGCTTAAGCCCCATGCTGAGAGTGGGGGGTTGGAGTGGGTGTCCATGTTCAGAGTGTTACCCCAATCTATGAATCACTAGTGGGGAATCCCACGTCCGATTCTAGGGCAACATATTGGCAAAGGGTTTTTTAGTAATTTAGGTAAGGGTGGGGGTGGGTGGGAGTGGGTAGGAGGAAGGTCCATGAATGGGTAGTCTATATCGTTTTCGCTTTGGACAAGAAAGAGAATAGAAATATTAGACATCTTTTGAGCCTGATTAATTTAACGACATACAATGTGAAAGGTTTAAATTCTCCTACCAAAAGACATAAGATACTTAGGGAAGTTCATCAACTCTCCGCAGACGTTGAGTTCTTACAAGAGACGCACTTATCCTATCATACTAATGTCAAATTATACTTAAAGTACTACCCAACTTGGTATTGTGCGGACTCACCAATAAAGAGAGCTAAAGAAGTAGCGATCGGGTTCTCAAAAAACATGGGTTTTGATGTGGAGAAGAGCTGGTGGACCCAGAGGGACGGTTTCTATGTTTAAGAGGGAAAATGTGGGGACAAAGCTATTCCTTGGTTAATATTTATTGCCCGAATCAAAATCCAGAGGCATTTCTGTACGGAGTGCTGGGGGAAAATTAAGGCGTTCAAGAGGTGGACTCTGGTCTTGGCAGGAGATTTTAATTTTTGTCTTGATCCATGGATGGATAAGTCTTTGATTGCACAGAGAGAGGAGGTAAAAAATTAAGAATGTTGAAAAAGAGGTTACATCAAAGTCAGCTAATGGACACATGGAGGGTGAAACATCCCAGAAAGAGATTACACCTTCTTCTCCCTGGCGCATAGATCGTACTCACGGTTGGATTATATTATGATCGAGCATAGACAATTGGATTCACTGGTTAAACCCAATACAGATTTTATGTCTGTCTATCTCAGATCATGCTCCTGTCACGGCGAGACTAATGGTAGGAGGAGAAGGGAACAAAAGGAAAAAGTGA